GGGTTGCTATCATCTCATGGCGGTATCCAGGGGTCTCTGGGGTTGCTATCGTCTCATGGTGGTATCCAGGCGACTATGGGGTTGCTGTCATCTCATGGAGGTATCCATAGGACTCTAGGGTTTATGTAATCTCATTGTGGCATCAAGGTTACCCCGGGGTTGCTAGCTGTCATGTCATGGTGATGGTGGTATCCAGGTGACTCTGGGGTTGCTGCCATCTCATTGTGGTGTCCAGGGGATTCTGGGGTTGATGTCTTCTCATTGTGGTATCCAGGTGACTCTGGGGTTGCTGTCATATCATTGTGGTGTCCAGGGTACTCTGGGGTCGATGTCTTCTCATGATGGTATCAGTCGACTTATGGGTTGCTGTCCTCTCATGGTGGTATCCAGGGGACTCTGGGGTTCATGTCATGTCATGGTGGTATCAATGTGACTCTTGGGTTGCTGTCCTCTTATGAAGGTATCCAGGGGGCTCTGGGGTTGCTGTCATGTATGGTGCTATCAAAGTGGCTATGGGCTTTCTGTCATTATATAGTGGTATCTTTGTGACTTGCCATCATTGTTTTCCTGGTCCGTATTTTTACCTTACATAGTTTTGTGCTACAATTCCACACAATCTAAGTAACGCATTTTTTAATATACTATAAATATACTATGATTGTTACGTCATCATAATTTAGAACAAACATCAGTGGTTGTAGCAGATACTATTTCAAACTGAAACTCTTCCCACATCATAATATATGTACAACATCTTTCACGTATTATTGTAATCACTATAAGAAATGATAAAATTACTTCGGTTGGCGACATATTTCACAATCAAACATAATTCATATTATTTTAGTCACCCAAGACCATTTGCACGTACGTATTTTTATGTTTACAAGACTTTATTTCTGATTCTGTTGGGTAAGATTTCCAAAAATCTCTTATAATGCTTACAGAGGTCATGACTGGCAGTTCAACTTACAACGACTGACACTCCAACTACTGTACACACGGTATAAATAGCGCCACACACGGTGAATGTCGCATGAATTACTGCCAATCTCGATTTAATTATTCATCAGTCCAGTGTAACCTGAGAAGCAACCTGTGACACAAGGTCTTATTTGGCTTGCTGTTAACATGCAGGTACGTATGATTATGTTTCTAGTCTAATATAGTTGTTATCAAATTCACCAGTCTCTTACCAATTGCTACATCCCGGTGCTACATATAGTTCATACATGTGTATCTCGTATCAGTGACGTCGGCATCGTGTGATTTTTTTTACGTCGTACTATTTGTAACGACCACTTTCTGGTTTGTGTAATTAGAGCCATCGCGTCAATGTCAAAATTACTTTGACATCAGCTCTACAAATATTACATGGTGTTTTCTAGAGAAGAATATGTTTTAAGAATATTTGAAGATGTGTAAAGTAAAAAAAAAGCATTGCTTAATTTAAGGGATAACAATTAGCTTTAAAATGTCACAAATAACGAATTGTTTGACCTTTTTATGGTTGAGACGTAATGCGGGTTCGTCGCCTGGTGAAATGTGACATAGAGTCGAGTGTCTTTCTCAGCAATGGAATTTAATTCATATTCGAACATACACTGATAAAATGGCGGCTGTCTTCTGTCGCGGAATTTTCTATATGAATGGTTGTGACCAATTCTCTCGATTCTTAGCTCCCAAATATTTGTTTTTTCACTCATTTTCTGTATGATTGTCGTTGTCTTTTCAGTTCCCAGTTATTTGACAATGAGTTTGATGTAAAACAACCCGTTCGCATAAATTGCTAAAGCTGATCTTGGATGACGGGGAAGCGTCCCCTCACTCAGAGGTCAATTGAAAGTGTTTTTGCATGGAAACCAATCGTGTATATGCATGGATTTGAAAAACACAGCGACGCAGCAACTGAAAGAAAGTGGGAAAGGACCATAGTGGTGATATGTATGTGGCTGAATGGGTCTCTATTGGCGACCCACAACTATTCATATATATAGGGTTGTGAAAATACAAGGAGAACAATTCGTATTGTACGTCTATACATGATACTTTCTGAAAGACTTGTCAATTATAAAACGTGTTACCACTCGAAATGAACTGATTAAAACGAGAAGTCTACAGTTTATAGAATTCACTCACAACTCCACAGAGCCCATGTACACTTCAACAAAGATGGCGGATAATGCAAGTCGTCTGGGACTACGGATTTCCTCTCAACCCAACCTTCACATTGACTCTGGCGCCGTTTTGATTGTTGCTCAGAAAGCCTTATGCTTCTGGTCGGCTTTCGGGTAACAATTAAAAATAGCGAGAGAGTTTTCATCTCAACCGGTCCAGCTCTCCTACTTAGCCTGCAGTGCTTCTGAGACAAGACAAGACTGACAATTCTGGTGCTTGGGTAAAAACCAAGTGAAAATGCATTATTAATTTCGGGAGTTAATCAATGATATCAACTGGTAGTTTTAACGTTCTAATCATATATTTTACTAAACAGGGGACATGGCTGACCCACACCGATACTGAATTGACATTCATTAGCTAATGTAAATCCTTATTTTAAAAGTTCACTTTGTATTATACACACTATGTCAAAAATCACCAGTTTGTGATTGTGCAGAGCAAATCGTATTTGAATAAGGGAGGTTGGGGAAATCGAAGTTGTTCATCGGGGATTAAACTCTCCCTTCTACAATCGTCTGGAAGAGCAAAGGCACCGTGACATTTTCCACTCATAGTATTATGTTTGATAAGTATGCGCGTCTAGTCGATGTTCACACCAATAGAGTTCTTTGTAGAAACGAGTATTGTGCGTGTATCAATGGTTTTCAAACCGCTACAGATCTGCAGGCTATTGCTGAATCTAGACCTTATGCCCGGCTATACATACACAAAAATAGACTGAAATGTATGTAAATTACCACTTGTAATAACAGCCAACCAAGTGTGAATAATCTCATGCAGGTCACTGCTATGGATAGTATTTCCAAGCGAGGACTCGACTAAAATTTGAATTACCCCAGTCAAAATTAACCTTTAATTTATTACCAATATAACAGTTGGCGTTAAGGTTTTAAAACTGACAACATTTATCTGTATATGAAAGTTTTCTGTGTATTTGACAATATCGGAGACCACGTACGGAGGTGTTCGTATACATGTAACATTAAAAGAGAAGTAAAAAATGTACTTTTTAAACAATTTAAAAATTGTCCCGGTGTAATTGTATTATAATCTAGAAGAGATGATGTACGGCCATTTCCAGTAACGATGTGAGAATGTAGGCGGGCAAAACATAATTGTCAGTGTTGAATGTAAGAGAACTGACTGAAAGTGAAGGATATATGAAACGAACTTTTCCAATTAAAGTTGGCCTGAGTCACAATGGTATGGAACTGTCGACAATAGGTGATGTTACTGGGAGGTCATTTAATTGAAGTGTAATCAAGTATGTGATAAGACTGACACAATGCACATTACTTCCACTACTTTCTATTCATCAACTGTCAGTTTGTTTAGTCATGCCAGTATTCAATGCCGCGTTCCTCCCACTCAAAGTTAGTACAAACTCACCCCTCGGTAAATTCACGACTGAATTTATCAAGGAACTCAACCTTCGGTCAAATTGAGAACGAACGCATGACCCAGTGACAATTTGTACACGAACTCAACACCCACAGACAACCTTAACACTGAAAACTTGGAGAAGACCTCTGCACACATAGCGGGCAACTTGGATACGCCTCTCCACCCACAGACAACTTGTACACGACCTCAGCTCTTACAAAAAAAAATTAACAAGAAGTTTTCACACAGGGGCAATTTGAATACGACCTCTCCACTCACAGACAACTTGGATACGAACTCTGTATCCACAAAATGATCGTAATTCAGATACGGTGAAGAAAAATAGTTGTTCACGAGATACGGAGATACCCCTCTCAGCAGTTTGACAGATCGGCAGATCTAGTCGTCAATCTTGAAAATAGTATAATAATGGCTGGATTATGCTGTGTGTCACGTTTTAATACATTTAGCGCCAATTCGATGCTGGGACTTGTGGTGAGCAAACAGACGAGGAAAAATCTTAGTTGTCGTAGAAACGGCCCCTTTTAAATCAGTGTCTCCCATTGGCACACACTTTCTTATCTGAACATTTGTTATTTTTCAGCGGTTCTTACTCTCAGAATTCGCATGGATTACTTTTGCAATATGTTTGTGAGTGTAGTGGTGTGTATTCGTAAAATGGTCTTTTAAAACAAAGATAAACTTTGTTGCCTGTCGTTACTGATGAGTCCAAACACGACCCAAAGTATGACTTGTCTCATCGCACAGTGACAACTAACGTCAAAGTAATGACAATGCAACACATCCCTGGGAATTTGCGAAATCATGCAGACCTTGAAGTTGGTTATAGTTGATAATGTATCTCTGGTGAGGCCTAAGTAATATATGCATCACTGTAAAGTCAAGCACACACAATTTCAACACGATGACGATGTTTAAATATTCCTATTACTGGGTGTATTCATATCACGTTAAATCACGAGACAGCGCAGTAAACACTGACCAGTTGTCTGTTCTTATAGTGTTCACATGCGATATGTATCATGTCAATTCGGATCAATCATGACTCTTTATCTACATGACGTCACTGAGCTCACCATAATAACTACATCATGTGATAAACTGAGTTCAATGAAAATATATACTAGTAGTCAACAATATTTTTAACATGTTTACATCATTCTGTCACACATTATTTCTCGATAATATATTATGATTTATTTTTGAAAAGATCGTATGTATATAACAAACATAGAAGTATTCGTTTGATGAAAAAATGCTAACCGCATATACGCATGCGCCTCGGACTTTATAACTGCTAGATGCACATATTACTTCGAACGAACACTGCTATACTTAGTACCAAAATAAGGTTTATGTTTCACGATAAATATTTATTGAAATATCCAACAGAATTATTTAAACATGATCAAAAATAGTTATCACAATAGTTTTCTCGGTACGCTAAGTTTTACAATAACGGAGAGTCGAAGTTCATGTTCATAGACGTGAATGTGCACGATAGTTGTTTATAAGGCGTGCTAAAAATCTGGACACTATATAGAATATAGACTATGACCCAATCAAATGGTTCCCATCGGACATTGTTAGGGCATTACAAAAGACACGCTAATAGAATATCCTGTTCAACTTGTTTTTTTATTTTATTCCATTTACTTTTTGAGCTATGATGTTAACACTGTTGGCAATTCGGCGTGAAATCGTGCCTGGATAGGTCCCACGTTAAGCGTTCTCACGGCACCCACCAACTTGGCCCCTTCGGAATGTCCCATTGCAGTTCAAGGTGCTATGTTACGGTGCCGAATTGTCAGGCAACGAGAAATAACACGCATGTTACTATGGCAATCGTTTGTTGAAGTGACTGAGGTAAAACCAACCAACCAGAATCGTTGTGGCAAATTGTTCGGTGATGAATATGTCTTTCGATTAAAGTTGGAATAACGGTTTATGGTAACACACAGGCTGTGAATAAAACATTTTCTAACAAAAGCAATGACGTGCGCGCCTTGAAGTATTGTCGAGCCCGCTATAAAGATCACGTGACTTACTGCATGTGCAGTCACCTCTTGATTTATATTGCATAAATTACACTGTGTCACTAATCAGTAATATCAAGTAACACGTGACAGGTAGTCGTATGCTAATTATGACGTAGTTGTATTCTAATTATTATTGTAAAGTTCTCATTTACTTAGAATAGTGGTAATCCTTCGAATACAAACAAAATCGCTATAATCTCATTCCCGCGTATAAACGTATTTTAAAATCTAGTAGTGTGGCGCCACCAACGTTACTAATAATATATTTTTCACGAGATCGCAATATCTCTAAAGGGCGGCTCATATGAAACAGGCTTCTTCTTTTAGCATTTATAATTGTGGGTTCTATATTTTCAAGGATATCTGTTTTCGAGCTTTGATTTTCAAATATTTGAAAAGAAAAACGCAGTAAAACAATTTGAAATAGCTTCATGTCTATCTATCTTGACTCAATGAAGAAATCCTAATTTAGCAAAAGTATCAATTTGTCATCACGAGAATATAGTTTCTGTTAAATTAGCTACATCTTGAATTAGCGAAATCACAGAGTGGCTAAACTAGATAAAATATTAGCTAAAATGCTAACTAAA